CCTGTCCTTTCTAAAAAGGTGATATCCTTCTATGTTCACATTCCAGACTTGCCTTTCATCCCACCAAGTTTCTGTGATTCCCACCAGATCATACCCTCCTATTCCCAGGAGAGCTTCAAGCTCTTCCTGCTTATTACCCATGCTCCTAGCATTGGTGTACATGAACCTCAACTCTTTCCCACCACTTCCCTTCCTTGGAGTTCCCAGCCTCCTCCTTCCTCCCATCCTCCCTGATGCCTGGCCCCTCTCTGCAGGAGTCCTGTCAGTCCCTGCAGTATCTCTAAAACCCTGCTTCCAGAGCATGACACGTTACTGGGCGGCCTGAACCCCCCCCCCCCCCCGGCTCAGTTTAAAGTCTTTCAGACGAAGCTCGCTAGATTATTTCCAAAGGACCTTTTCCCCATCCTCGTGAGGTGTAACCCATCCCTTGCCAGAAGTCCATTGGCAAGACGACGAGTGCCGTGGTCGAGGAACCCAAAGCGTTCCTTCTGGCACCACACCCTAAGCCAGTCGTTCACCTCGGAGGCCCTCCTGTCCCTTCCTGGCCCAAATGCCCGGACAGGTAAGATTGACGAGAAGGCCACTTGGGCCTTCAGCTCCCTGAGTTTCTTCCCCAAGGCCTCAGAGTCCCTGGTGGTCCCAACCACACCCTGCCTGGCCACATCGTTTGTGCCCACATGGATCACCAGGAGCGGCTGGTGACCCCCGGAGCAAACAAGACGCTCCACCCTGTCCTTCACATGCCGGATGCATGTGCCCGGCAGGCAGCAAACCTCCCTTGTCTCCAGCTTGGGGCGGCACACTGCCACCTCAGTGCCCCTCAGCAGGGAGTCCCCAACAACAATCACCGGCCGCGGTGCTGGTGGGCAGCCGTGCCTTGGCCCTCGCCTCTCCTGCAGTGGCCCCCTTGCCGCCTGACATCCCAGGCTGGGGGTCCTGCTGGTCCCCCAAGGCCTCATCAGCCCCAGCCTCCCCAAGTGGAGAGAGCCTGTTTCCCAGCTCCAGATTGGTGTCAGGAGAAGGAGGAGGCTGTGCTGGCCTCCTCCTCCTGTGGGTGACATACCTCCATGTCTCCTGAGCTGCTCCTCCCATGGTCTCTCCCTCAACCCTCTGTCCAGAGGGGGGCTGCTCCAGGGGGACCTGGAGAGCTCTATCGGCCCTCAGGCACCTCACCTCCTCTTCTAGCAAGGTCACCAACTTGCACCGAGGGCAAGTGTATCCCTGCCTCTCCTGGGGGAGAAGGGCGAACATGTCGCAGCTGTCGCAGCGGACAGCAACACCCGTGACTCCCGCCAAGGCCATCTCCTGGTCTGCTATCGGTATCCCTTCTGAGAGTTTACCTTGGTCCCCTGCCTTGTTTGTCCTGCAGTTCCTCTCACTTGCCCAGTTCTCCCAGACAAAAACCCACTCGCACACACACACAAGGATAAATTAAACTTAAATTTAAATTGGAAGAAAAAGCAAAGCACAGCACAGCACAAACAAACCTCTGTGTCTCAGGGAAGGGAGTCTCCGGACAGCCCGGGCCGCAGCCAAGGGCCGCAGCCAAGGGACGATGCGCTTCCTCTCCGCTGCTCCTGGCCCTCTGCTCCCCTGCCCAGCTCTTACCTTGCCTTCGCCAGTCCCCTGGCCACTCAGCACTCTCTCCCAGCCTGTGCCTCTGCTGCTCTGCCAAGAGGCCAGAGCCAAAAGGGCTTGCAGTGGCTGAGCGCGGCCTGAGTGGTTAGGCTTAAGGGTATATGGCCCAAGACTGTACAGACTACAAGGCTGGATTAAACTTTCCTTCTGTGCTGTTTAGCATTTTAATCCAAGCTTAGCTTCAGTTCTTGAACAGTTCTTTCCAGGTAAATGTGATCTTATCCTAGTTTCAGTAAAAACAGTCTGTTGCTGCATGGATTGCTTGCATGTTGTTCTAATGTCAGAGGGAGGCAACTACAGCAGTATGAATACAGTTCATTTATTCTGATCATTTAGAGAGACCATCAGTGTGCTTTCTACATTTTAATGATTTACATTATTAATTTCAGTTATTCATAAGTAACTAGCTTTAATTGCTTGATGTACTACTTGTCCAGAGTTGGTAGTTTGGTGACCTGTCTCTGCTGAAGACCCAGCCCATAATTGTTTGTGCCTAATGCCTTCTAACATGGAGGGATTTAGTTACACCTTATGTTGTCCTTGATCCTACGCCTGACAGCTGTCTGCTACAGAATTTCTGTGCCAGTGTCTTGCTGGCTGAGACCTCAGGAGACTGAGACCTTAAAACTAGCCAGGAAGGTGATGCACGCATTCTGAGGCTCCCTGGCCTCATGAAAAGCATCTTGGTTTCAGTAAAGCAAGTGTGCATCACCAGTGCAATGTGACAGTCGTCAGTGACTTCCCGTATGAGCTCTGACTTGCCCATCCAGGCTGTGGCTCCTATTGTAACTGATGTGCATCGCCTAGAAGAAGAATCACTGACACAGCTGAAAGAGGCAGTCTTGGGCCTTCACAGGATTCTTTTCCCACAAGACAAGTGGGATATCAAGTCCCAGATACAAGGCTATCAGGCAAGTGTAAGAGAAAGCTCCTGTTCTCTAGCAAGGGTTACACAACATTGGCTATTTATCTTGAATGCTTTTGGGAAGAGAAGCCTCTGCGATCTTTCAAACCAACAGAAAGTTGGCCTGTACTGGGAAAAGATTGTCGGTCTGTGTCAGACTATAACTAAGATCCAAGTTACATGTGAAGAGCATGCCGTGCGTTGGCAATATTATCTTCAGTGTGGCTGTTTAAGCCCCATTGCAAACATTATTGCCACCTTGTTGCTCAGGTGCTCTGGGTCAGGGATGGGGAATGTGTGGCCCACAGATGGTAGAATGGAACTCCAGTGATTCCTCATCATTGGCTATGGCAGTTAGGGCTGAGGGGAATTGCAGCCCAACACCATCTGCCAGGCCACATGTCCCCAACTCAGCTGTGAGTGAACCTTTGGCTCTCTTGTAAGAGAAGTCAGCTGCAATTCCTGCTGCCAGCTCCATCTCCAGTCTTGACCTCAGAGGGAACAGCCCTTGGGAGTTTTGCTTGCCTTGTCTTCCACTGAACAGGAGATTCAATGGTTTCTGCCTGGTGCTGGTGCCAGTGCCAGCAGCAATGCTAATAGCAAAGACTGTTCAAACCATCATTAGCAGCCTATGGCTATGTTCTTCAGCATGGGAGTGAATGGTTAAGATCCAACTCAGAGCTGTAGCAGTTTTCCACAGACTGGCAGAGGAAGGAAAAATACAGAGGTGAATTTATTTATTTATTAAAACATTTTTATGCCGCCCCATTCGCCGAAGCCTCGGGGTGGCTTACAACACTAAGTTAAAATAATTACAATATAAATGAATTCAGTGTTATTGTGAGAGAGAAGGTTATGGTTGAGTCCAACTCAGAATGGGTATGGGTGTGGGGGGAAGCTCCCCTGCTTTCTGAAACCTTGGATATCACCTGTCACTACCATGACCTGGCGCTAATTCAATCTTGCTTTTAATTCACTGGCATCATCCTGTATTTGGAAAAAGATTTCTGTCAACTGCCATTCTGCTGCACTTCATTGATTAGAAAATATAGCCTGGCAGTGTAACATCTCATAAAACTGAAGCAATTGTGAGACAGCAATCTGCTTGCTTATGCCTGCTCATCTTTGCAAAGGCCTATCGTTTTAGCCCATTATTTTACCTAAGTGAACTGCAACTGTTTCGGCACATACCAAATTGGCCCAAATGTCTTCACTGCACAGGAAATGGGCCACACAATTTTCCTGCTTGAGAATGGCAAAGGTATTGCCATGTGTTTCTCAGCACTTCAACGGAGGGCGTTTGATGGATAACAGCCTGTCATTCCAAGTGACAGAAACAGAAAATGGGCTAGTTCATGATGCCTGCAACCTCATTAACCCTGAAGGCCATCTCTGCTTTACCTGACTGATAGATTTGTCACTGTCCTCTGTGTTCAGAGGGATAGTGTGTCAGAGCCTGGAGGAAACATGGTGCTGGCAGCATCTCACTATCCAGCGATGTCCCCTGCCAGTCAGACACCAGCTTGATGATGTAGAGTGTATGTTCTCCATGCCAAAGTTCTTCTGTTCAGTCCCCAGCATCTTTTCTAGCATGCAATGGGAAATGGCTCCTGTCTGACATCCTGGAGAACCTTTGCTGGTCTATGTAAACCAATGTTCCCCCAACATGGTGCCCTCCAGTGTGTTCGAATGCAACCTCCTCCTCATGTTCATATTGGCACTAGGTTGGAAAGGCTAGTAGAGGTGATACTGAACCAGATGGAATAAAGGTCTGGCTCAGTGCAAGGTAGCTTCTTTTCAGCTAGCTGAATGTCTACGTTTCGTGCACTGCAGTTTTGCTAATCAAAAAACCAATGTTTTGAATTGGAAACATGAGCTGTCTGTTGACTACTGTCAAGCATTTCATGGCGATAAGAAAAAATACTTGAGTTCTAAAGTACTGATGCTTTTCCTACTAGCTACTGCTTTGTCTGCATACATCTTTAAATAAATATATAGTTGTTATTCAGAACGTTATTTTAGAACATTCTTTCACTGTTATTACAAAACTGCAATGCTTTGTTTTATTGGTAGACAGAGGTTGCAGTTCTGTGGCTGCTGGAAGCTGCTGAGATTTTTTGACAGGTTGGATATGTAAGGGTACAATCCTATGGATATTCAGACAGAAAAAAGCTGTACAACATTCAGCATGTGCCCCAAGTTTTTTTTTAATGCAGTTTTCTGAATGTTTTGGAAGTTGCCCAAGTTATTTTAGGCAGTGAGCTTGTACAGTTCATATTTTTCACTTGAATAGATCATAGTTGCTACCAAACCCTAACCAGAGATATGCAAATAGGTCCTAAGGGGCACTTTGCCACTCTGTAATGTTTTGGGATGGAGCATGTCAAGCCCTAAACACTAGTTGAGTGATGGATGCATGCACAAATGATTTTAAATGTCTAAAAATGAGACTGTTCCAGAAATAGTTTGAAGTAAGCAGTACAAAATATTAAGCGTTAGATTCTTAACCATGCAAATTCTGACTCCTTAAAGAGCAGTCTATTTTTAATTTGCTGTAATTAATATGAATATATTGCTTTGAGGTAAAGTTGCGGGAGTTAGCTATGGTACCTCAAAGCAAATACTTCATTTTCAACTCTAAAAAAATTGCAATAGCATTCTCTCTGTAAAGTACTTCTTTTACTTAAAAAACAAAAAACAAACCCCCTAACTTTGAAGTTAAACCAAACATTTTACTCAATATAGAAGAGTTGTTTTAAAAATATGTTTCTGTGTTCAATGGCATCTAAAGTTGTCTAGGAAGGGGTGGGCAGAAGCTAGATGTGCTGACCTTTTGGATTTCATGTCTCAGCATTCCTGACCATTGGCCAGCATGGCTGGAACTTACGGGAGTTGAGGTTCAAAACATCTGGAGGTCAGCCTTTGACTCTCTCTTGAACTCGGGCTTTATGAACACTTGAATTGTTTGTCATTGGTCACACTAGCAGTCCGTCATATTTTCCTCCATTTTCACTAAGTCTTTTGTGCATTCTCTGTTTTCTTCCAGAGGTAAAGGTGAGCCAGTAACAGAGTTGAGTTGGCCCTCTTGCCGCCAGCTGCTCTACCAGTCCATAGCCACCATTTTGGCTCACGCAGGGTTTGAGAGTGCCAATGAGAGTGTTTTAGAGACTCTTACAGACATTGCTCATGAGTACTGCCTGAAGTTCACCAAGCTTCTACGTTCTGCTGTGGATCGAGAAGCCCGGCTTGGGCAGACCCCTTTCCCAGACACCATGGAACAGGTTTTCCATGAAGTTGGCATTGGCAGCGTGCTGTCTCTGCAGAAGTTCTGGCAACACCGGATTAAAGATTATCATAGCTATATGTTACAGGTAAGAGGAGTTGGAAGTGGTGTGTCAAAGCAAGGCAAGTGTGCTAATTCCCATAGTTTTTTTTTTTTATATTTATATCCTGCCTTTTTCCTACAAAGGGCTCAAGGCAGCTTACATTATCTCTCCTCCTCCATCTTATCCCCACAACAACAACCCTGTGAGGTAGGTTGGGCTGAGAGACTGTGACTGGCTCAAAGTCACCCAGTTGGCTCCATGGCCGAGCGGGGACTCGAACCCAGATCCTCTGAGTCCCAGTCCCATGCTCTTAACCACTACACCACACTGGCTCTCCTTGGTATAGGGAAACTTAATAAGCATCTCTACCTATAGTGAATGTCTGGGGTTTTTAATGCAGTTGTTCTATTGCATCTTGGCATTTTGAATTGTTTTAAAATTGTTTTAAGTCCTTGTATACTTTAACCCTAGCTGTAAGTCACAACAAGTCTTGTTTAGGGGAAGTTGTGTAATATATTTAGTAAAAGTACTATTAGTAATGACTGCTAATTGCTTAGGTGGACTTGTGGTTGGGTACTTTACACATTTGTGAGAATTGGGGGGGGGTTGGCAAAATGCCAAATTGTCAGGGGCTCTCCTTTGTTTTCTGTCAAATGGTGTCTTCCTTACCAATTGCCATGTACCTTCTTGTTGAATTTTCTCATGTAGAGTTACTTTCTAAGACTGCTGACAGAGATGATGGATTTCTTCCATCTCAGTAGTTCGTCGAAAATCAACTGCTCCCTAAGTAGCCTCAGGGCTGTGGAAGCCATTCCATATTGTGCCTTCCCCTACCAATCCTTTCCCCCTGAAAGAACTTGAATGTTGCATGAGAAAAGTCATCTGTGTGGCTGATTCTCACACTAGTGTTAGTGACCTCATGCATATAACCATAGAATGCTTATTATTGCAATTGTATGGAAAATAACTATCCTGCAAAAGTTCCCACACTGCTAAGATAACTGAAAGACCAATCCTAGGACACTTGACTTGGACCCAAGACATGATTCCTGATCTGAGATTCTAAGGTGTTATATCAGTGTTATTGATAATGAAAACTCTTGCCAGCAACCATGGAAAAAAATCTAGGTGCATAATTTTTTTTTATATGAGTATTGGCAACTTGATCTTATCCTTCACTCTGTTCCTGCTGTTGGATATTCCAATGTTCCCAATTGCATGCTCTTTCATAGTGCCCATTTATTTCAATGGAATTAGCAGAAGAAAAGTTCCTAGGGGAAATTGCCTTTGGACCTGTAGTCTATATTTTAGGGGTGGGTAAACTGTGACCCTTCCAATGTTTTGTTGTAGTTTTCTTGGCCTCCTTTCAGGGCAGAAGCACTTCCATGCAGTGAAACAGTAAAAACACAATAAAAACAGCAATAAAATTTCAGCAACAAAACCATCAATAAAAGAGAAACAAATCCTGTCACAACAGCAGCTATATTAGGAGAGGTTCAAAGAGAAGTCATATATTAAGGCCTCTTGAAAGTCTGCAGTAATAGAGCAGGGCAAACCCTAAATAACATAGCATTCTAGAGGTGTGGTGCCATTGCAAGAAAGGCCTTGTCCCAGAGCCTATGGGAATGGGGCAGTAGATAATTATTAAATTAAAAATAAAATCCCTTATCATTGACAAGGACTGATGGGACCTGCAGGCTAAAATATAGGGGGTTTGGTGTAGGAACAAGTGATCTGAGCTTGCTTTATCTTGTTGAGAAAACATTTATTTTAATAAGTAACTGAACTATTTTACAGCTAGCAGAAAGTTAAGCCTCTAGGGAGGAATAGCTTGGTAAAATCCCTCTGGCAGGGATCCTGCACATTGAAAAATATTGCAAGATCCAGTCAAGTCAACTACAGAGGGAGATGGAAGATGAGCCATGTATGGGGAAAGATGATATTTATTTATTTCATTTTTTATACCATCCAATAGCCAAATTTCTCTGGGTAGTTAACAAAAGTTAAAGAGTAAAGAGATAGGCAAACACACATTAATTTAAAAGAATGGCACAGAAGGAAAAAATAATAGGGAAGGAAGAAGAATAAGAATTTAATCTAGCCCTTCCTCTCCTCTCCTCTCATTTCCCTCAGTACAGCCTGCTGGAAGTGCTCCATTCCATGTTGGGGCAGCAAGGCTACTGTTTTCATTCCATGCTGACAATATATTATTACTTGATCATCTTTGTTTTCAGTGCAAGGGCCTCTGTGAATTGGGAACCAGGCTCCCAAAGAACACCCTGACTTTGCATCCAGTGGGTGCTTCTGTACAGTCCATTAAAGCTTCTGTGTAGCCTGGAGTGCCTGATCCTGCCTAATCTGAAAAGGCCCTCCTTCTGGTAGCCACTCGCCTCACTTCCTTTGGAAGGGGCTCCCGGAGAAGGACCTGTGAAGATGACCTCAGGGTCTGGAGAGGTGCATATGGAAGGAGGCAATCCTTCAGTTATCTTCTCCATCCAGTACCACTAGGATTCCATTTTCCATCATAGGTGGCTCACCTTGGTGAGGATGCTTCAGGCTTGAATACAGTGGATGCATCTCACACTTCAGTCACTCCTTTTTTTTTCTCTGCCAACTGTACTACCGGCAGGTCAGTAAGCAACTCTCTGAAGAGTATGAAAAGCTTGTCAACCCTGAAAAGGCAGCAGAAGACACAAAACCTTTGAAAATCAAGGATGAACCAGTCAGTGACATCACTTTTCCCATGAGTGAGGAGCTGGAAGGTGATTTAGCATCAGGGGACCAGTCTTTGCCTGTGGGAGTCCTTGGAGCTCAGAGCGAGCGTTTTTCAGCCAACCTGGAAGCAGAAACATCTCCACAGACTTCAGGTACATGCTTGTTTCTTTGTTTCTTTATTTATTAGATTTATATCTCACCTTTCATTTCAAGTCACTCAAGGTGGCTTACATGATTCTCCTGTGGGAAAGCACTCAATGTCCCTAGGTGATTGGTTCCATTGTCATACTCCTTGACGAGTCAGAAAATTTTTCCTGTTATCTAGTCAGAATCTGGCTTCCTGTAACTTGAGCCCATTATTCCATGTCCTGCACTCTGGAATGATCAAAAAGAGATCCTGTTCTTCCTCTTTGTGACAGCTTTCAAGTATTTGTAGAGTGCTATCATATCTCCCCTCACTGCCTCTTTTCGGGGCTAAACATGCCCAGTTCTTTCAATCTCTCCTTTGTTTCCAACCCCTGGATCAGGCTTGTTGCCCTCCTCTGAACCCTTTCCAGCTTCACTGCATCTTTTTTAAAGTGTGGTGCCCAGAACTGGATGTAGTATTCCAGATAAGGCCTAACCAGTGCTGAGTAAAGGGAGCTAGTTCTTCACAGGATTTGGAAGTGATGCTTCTGTTAATGCAATCTCACCACCACCTTTGTAGCCAGGCATTCACTTGGAGAATTTTTCTTTCCTCGTCTATTCTCTTCCCTTCTCCATAAAGTAAGCTCACTTATTGCAGAGTAACAGTACATTATAATAACTGCAACTTGGCCATTAGCTGTATCTGTAAACAATTTGAAATTTTTGTTAAATATGGCCCTCAGTCCTGCAGTGTTGTGTAAAAAACCAGAACAAAAAAGTCCCTGTGACGAAAGGTCATGTTTAGTCTGAGGAGGTCTGAGGGGAATGTGACAGCACTTCTCAAACACCTGAAGGAAGTTCCTTGTTGGAACTGTATTATTGGCTGCATTATAAGAACTTACATGTTTGGCCATCTAAAACAGAATTCACAGGTGAAATGGATACGTTCCACTTTTAAATGCCCCCCTTTCCAGGAGGAGACATAATAGTGAGTGTAAGTAAAGAGTTTTTGGTGTGAGAATTTCCATCACTTCATCAAAGCTTTCATTCAAACTTACCACTCTTGGATCGTTTAGTTTTCAGACTTACCATTTTCACAATCTTCATATCCTGGAGAAAGGTTCTTAAAAATTATTTTTAAAAAGTACTCTTGCTCCCAAAAGGAGGTTATTACGTTCCTGCCACCCATTTGCTGAACTCATTGTTCCCTGCAGTAATCTGATTCACTTAGAAGCACAGTTTTTATTATAACTATTATTATCATTAGAATTATTAAAAATATTTTAGGTCTCTTCTGTTAGCCTTAACCCTAGCTGTCTCTAGATTGAATGGAGTTTATATCACAGGGTCTGTTTAACTTTTTAAAGAATAAAAAGTCTGGGCTTCTGAAAACACAAACCTGTTTTAATGTTCTGCCAAGATCCATTGCGTTTTTACAATGTTTCTGAAATGCAAAATACTATTGTTCTGGGGAAGAGGATGCAGTGAGCTATTTCTAGGTATTTCGGGGATGTGAGTGATTCATCTGAAAACTTCAGTATGAGTGTTTCTTCGTCGTGGCCTCTGTGCATCACACATATGGGTGCTGCGCCTGCGCAGTGCCTTTGGCCGGAAGATTGCAAGCTAACAGTTTTTAGTAGGAAAGCTCCGCTCCCCCTCCCCATGTTTTCCTGCTTACAAGTTAGAGGTTAACAAGCTGGTAGTATATTAAATGTCTTGCGACTGCCTGCTTGGACTGGGAACTAAAGTAGATGACATATAATCAGAAGTACAAGAAAGTCCCTGTATGCAGTCTTACAGTCTAAACAGAATGGCACAGAAGGAAAAATAATAGGGAAAGAAGAAGAATTCATTCTAGCCCTTCCTCTCCTCTCATTTCCCTCAGAACAGCCTGGTGGAAGTGCTCCATTCCATGTTGGGGCAGCAAGGCTACTGTTTTCATTCCATGCTGACAATATATTATTACTTGATCATCTTTGTTTTCAGTGCAAGGGCCTCTGTGACTTGGGAACCAGGTTCCCAAAGAGCATCCCCACTTTGCATCCAGGGGGTTCTTCTATGCAGTCCATTAATGCTTCTGTGTAGCCTGGAGTGCCTGACCCTGCCTAATCTTGGAAGCTAAGCAGAGTTGGGACTTGCTGAAATCTGGATGGCTAACCTAATGTTGTGAACTGGCCAGAGAGTGTTGGCTATGGGTGGCATAGAAATATAGATGATGGTGATGATGATGGGTGGGCTTCTTAGACCATAGCATGCCTTTTAAGGGGTTGTCCTTCTGTTTCGTTTTCTGTTTTCAATAATAGCCACCCAGCTGCTAGGTATGTTGCTTCATGATGATGTATTCTTCTTGTTTTTGCCTGTTCACCCTCTTTACGGGATTCATGAAAACACTTAAAATATTCCATATACCGTTAGAAGAAATGCTCAAAATTTATTTGCCAGTCCGCTATTGTATATCATGTTCTGTATGCTTTAACACATTCTTTATTAGCTAGTCCATCAGTTCCACTGCTATCTCTCCCACATTTATGACTGTTTCAAATGTTTCATTACTTGATTAGAAACCTGTCTCTCTTTCTGCCCACCCCCACCCCTCCTGCCACCATACCAGGTGGTGAGGTGAATACTTCCCCTCTCTGGAACTTGGTGCCAGTGAAAATAGAGCCCCAGGAAACTGAGGAGGGCAACGTCCATGGGCACCATGGAGTCCTGGGCAGCGACGTGTTTGAGGAGCCCATGTCAGCAATGAGCGAAGCTGCCATGGCGCAGAGTCCCAATGGCTCTGAAAGCAGTTATGGTTCCAACTCTCCTGATAGCCTGATAGGATCTTCCCCAGTCTTCAACCAGCGCAGCAAGAAGAAGATGAAGAAGATGTGACTTCTGGCCTGTGGGTGGCAGTATGGACTGAGCCAGCAAAGAGCTTGGAGCCAAGAGTCATTGGGAATGCTGTTTTGGATTTTTCGTGCATTGATTTGTCTTCACTGTACTCTATTCTGCCTGTCTCCACTCCCTACTTGACCCAGTGGGTATCATTTGACTGACATAAGAGGAATTTTGGATGACTGATGCTGAGAAAAGGATAGAGGCTGCTCCTAGAAGCCAAGTGTGGCTAAAAATGGATGTTTGGTTTATTCTACTGGGATTCCAAAAAGAATGATATGACTCTGCTGAGTTTCCAGGAAGTTAGGCATTTTATTCTCTGGGAAGGGACGTGAGTCCAATAAGAATCTGTCTTGGAAACTGCAATCTGCAATAAAATGAAAATGGGATTTATGAATCTTTGTTTCTGCTACCCTACATTTATATTTTGAAAGAAATAAGCTCCTGCTGCATTGGTTTTGTTTGTACAAAGGTAACTTTTACTTTTTTTGGTTCAGAAGTTTGTTTTCATTGTACTGAAATCAGATAAATAAAATTCCATTTACACCAATCTATACTCTTTTCTTCATCTTGGAATAGATATGTGTTTTTTTCCTATGCAAGTTTAGGCAGAAAACATCCTACAGCTCCCAAATCTTCCCAGCTTTTTTCTGCCTAATCATGTGTAGTGTTGAGTCCTAACTTGTTCAACACTGAAATCCAGCTTTGAAAGCTAAAACACCAGGAGGGTTGATAAATTATTATTATTATTATTATTATTATTATTATTATTATTATTATTATTATAACATTTCTATGCCGCCCCTTGCCGAAGCCTCGGGGCGGCTTACAACACAATGCTCTCCCTTGATTCGTGGTGCACTCCTAGAATAATTAAAAGTGGAAAAAATGGTGTGCTTCACTCACTCGCTCAATTTCTGGGTTAAACAACCAAGGAATTGTTACTGTGGCTTGGACTGGGTCTAGGAAATCCATGGAACGGCTATTGAATGCTTTCAAGAGTTGCAATAGACCAAGACTCAAAATGTATGCCAAATTTTGTCCTGAACTTGTCCCCATCCACATAGCTAGATTAGAGTAGCCCTTTACTGCATTAAATGTATGTTTTCTTCCAAAGAAGGCTGGGAATTCTTTTAGTCTTTGCACATTGCGCTTTCTTTACAGAAATACTATTCCCAGGGTTCCCTAGGATTGGTTTAACCTGAAGTGTAGATAAAACACCTTCAGTCTGAGTGCATATGCAGTATCCTACCTCACTCACTTTGCAACCATCCAAACCTAAGTACTTCAGGTTTATATTTAAATACAGAGGAAAACTCAGACTCTATTGATTCCACAATGTAGCTGAAGTGTAAGTGCAAGATGCAGTATTGATTCTTTTTTTCAGAGGATTGTTTATGCCGAAACATTGGAAAAGCATCAAGCTAGTATGTGTGTGGTTTTAGAATTGCAGTGAAGTAAAATCACCCTCCCACTTTAAGTGGTGCCTCTGACATTTGTATGCTTCATGTTACTTTTGTGTTTGCACGTAGAGGCTTTTAAATTCCTTGCAACATTCCATTAATTTCCAGTTGACATTTATCATAAGCAATCATGACATTTTCAAGGCTGATTTAGCAAATCACAGGGGGAGAATTCTAGGAACCAAAGCCAGAGTTGGTTAGTTCAACTTATAGGTGGAAAAATGTACCCATTATGAAGTGGGAAGAGTGGCCAACCTTATATATTTCATCCAGATGTAATCCTGTACATCTAAGCTCTTTGTTAGAGCCGTAGCCACAGGCTGTGAAGCATGTGGAATCTGCAGTCTCTTCAGCTATTTACCCTGCTGAGTTACAGAATCTGTTCCCTTAATAGCCATTTTGTAATAAGAGCTCTGCTGAACCAGGACAAAGATTTCCCTGGTTGTCCACAAAGATCTCTCTGGTTTCAGTTTCTCTCAGAGACCAGCCTTATACTTCTGGAACACTCATGTTGTCATAAAAGGAAGACCCTTCTCGAAGTTACTGTTCACCTGAATTGGGAACCATTTTGGCTGGTAGTCAGGCCTACAACTCCCAGCATGCTCCAGTCAGCATAGCTTTTTAGGCTCTTTTCTGCCTAAACTTGCATAGGATTTTGCCCTTACATTAATTCCATAAACTACTTATAGGCTATGTGACTTTTGTCTTTCTTGAATCTGCTACTGAACAGTAGCATTGGAGGTCCTCAGATTCTTTCTCTCTCTACTCATTTTGTTCACATTGTACATAAGTTTAGTCACCTCTTTCAAGTAGTCACCCCATTTTTTGCTATTATTCTAAACTAAAAAGTTCCAGATTTTGTAAGCTGTCATTTGAGGGGAGATTTTATTTATTTATCTTTATATCCCATCTTTCCAGGCAATGGTGCCCAAGCTAACAGCAAACATGACAAACACAACCCAGAATGGTGCTAACCAATATACAATGACATATAGAACAAGCAAGTGTGTGTGTGTGTGTGTGTGTGTGTGTGCGCGCGCGCGCGCGTGTGCGCACCCACAAACATGCATGGGTGTATACAGAGAGATCGATCAGTAAACAGTAAATCAGCTAGGTACAAACAGCAGCTCTCCTGCACCTGAAAGGTCATTCTTGAAAAGTCAAAGACCTGTCGAAATAAAAAGGTCTTTGACTGACAGACAGACTAATTAGATCTTATTCATTAAAATAGGACTGGGCTAGGCCTCACTTTCAGATTTTGTTATTGAACTTGTGTCCTCCAGCTAATGTCAAATATGGCAAACTTGTCACAACATTTTTATTATTTCATATCTGAAATGAGGGCTGTTTGTGACTTTAACCATCTGTAAAGATGTTATTCAAAGAGAACTTTTTCTATTTTAATAGTTATTATTTTATTAGTGCCTCTGAATGAAACCACAGCATAGGTGCATGCACATAAGCACCAGTAAAATCAGTGACCCATAGCTCTTTCTAACTTTGTACTATGTGTAAGTGCTATTAACTGAAAGGAGCTATTTAGGATGCAACCCTATGGCTGCTAGACAGAGCCTTAATGGCTATTGGAGTGCTCAGCGTCCAAGCTCCAACAGAGCTGGAGTCCCTCCTCCAACTGGGTTTGGGACTTCAAACTGAGAGCACCTTCCCAAACCTTCGCAGCTGGGGTGGAAAGAACCACACTGGCTGCAGTTCTGAGGTTCTGGTTACAACTTCACAGATGGAGTTTGTGGGCAGCAGCAGGAGGAGAAATGCACCACCAGCTTACACAGTATCCTAGCAGTGCCTCAGTGCCTCTTCTCCTCCTGCCAAATGGCCAAAATCAACTGTTTGTTTTGGTGGGCAAGAGGAGCGAAGAAATGATCTTTGCCTCTGCTTCTCCCATCCTTCATAGGGTGCATGTAATCCTCTGAGTTTGGAGGGTTATGGGCAACCTCTATAGACTCGGCTGTTAGAAGCCTAAGGCTACAGTTGGAAGCATACTTATTGAGGAATTATTTGCACTGAGCTCAATGAAACTTCTCAGTAAATATGTACAGGATAAAGGTGTCAATCGAGGGGGAAAGCCCGTGCCAGACTCAGGGCTAAGTGGGCGTTATGAGCTGTGATCATGTGTGTGTATGCATGCATGTGTGCTTCTGCATGTTTGTGCACATGCACACATATATAAGTACCCATACATATACATATATTCTTCAGCATTCCTGATGCAGAGTGTTCGTTCCTCACTGCTAGCAGTGGCAAGAAAAGAGCAATTTCTATGACAAGAGAGTATACGTAGTGAAGAATTTGGCAGGGAGTTTGGGGTTCGGGCACCCTAGTGGGGGTATCACAGTTCAGGCTGTCACAGGTTGCATCCCAAGCTGTGGGATGTGCAGCCCGATAATAAAACCTACCTGTATGGTGAAGCGGACATGCAGGCCATCCACTCCCTGAGTCCAGGGTGCAAAGCCTCTTTCAGCTTGAGGAGCAATGCATATTTTGTAGAAGATTTCAGAGGCCTCGTTCCTTTGGAGGACAGAACCAAACAAAAATAGGAGAGCCAAAAGCAGCACCGAGTCCAAAATTACCAACATATTTTAGCGTGAAGTCTTTGATGTCAAAAACTAAGCCTTAGGAGAGGCATTGGGAGAGGCATTTCAACCTGTAGGAATATTAAAATCTGCACAAAACCTGGGAAATTGCCAAACTCTTGGAGACTGGGGGGGAAGAGGTGGGGCTGGGGAATGGAGTGTGGGGAGCCCCAGAAGGCCAGATTTGTCTTCCAGGTGTGCAGTTGTGTATTCCTGTTGCTCTGTTTGCTGCAGGCACACTACCTTCACCTTAGAGCAGGTACATGATTATCTATATATATAGTGGATAGGTGGTAGTTGTGCTACAAAGCTGTATTTATTTACCTAAGGTGTGTTAGGAGTGAAAAAAACACCCTTTGAGAGTGTACAATCAGTGTGTACGATCAGTTTATTACAGTTTATTCAGACATACAGGAAATACATGCGGCATGCAGGCAGTCCACTGAAAGGACTACAAGGTGAGTCTTTGCACAGACTCAACTTTTATAACTTATGGGTTACATCCGATTTGGAGGGAACATCTAGGAGATCAGGTACACAGTATGGTAGAGACACATTAGGGTGAAACAAAAAGGTTGAATCGGATTAAGACAATACAGAAAGTACCTTCAGGACAGGCGAACTATTTACATATCTAATAGTATACCTAGCATTAGTATCTCTAAGGTGTAAATGGGAAGCAAGACTGGTAACTTGGATTCTTGATGAGATCAGGAATCCTCTCTTAAGTTTAAAGCCGTTCTTTCAGTGTCAGGCTTTTAGCAGCCATATTATGGCAAACCTTTTGCTTATTTTGTCCTGACAGGTGCTTACATGCTGTCCTTCAGTTTGCAAAACTAGTTTCATTTTTTTAAAGTGCTCCAGTCCTGTGAAGGAGTACAGAAAAAGAAAGCAATCAAAGATGGTTGCCACCACCCGAAAATCTCCAATATTTCATTCATCCCCCAAGTCCCCAATATTCTCCCCTTCCTCAACCTTTATGGGGGATAAATGGGCCAATAAAGGTGTGTGTGCGTACAGGGATGTGATCTCTGCACAGTTCTAGCACTATCTGATCATGGTTAATGACTCTTGCGCTGCCTTATTCCACAGGGCAATTGTGAGAGGTACAGTGCAAGTAGCTGAGGCTGAAATTTATTTTATCACTGGCAAAAAGAATAATAATTGTGCTAGGCAAATGTGATATCCACTGTGGATAACCTTTCCAATAAAAGGGTAACAGATGTCCCTTGATTGCATTATTATCTGAACATTCATTCATTCATTCATTCATTCATTCATTCATTTCAGTCCTTGGAATCCTCAGGCTCCTGAAGAAGGACCTTGATCTTAGCCCCAGGGGGCCTAAATAATCAAAAATGTGTGGGAAAGTCTACCACAACAATTATCGGGCACTGTGGTGACATTATTCATTATGGCCACACTGTGGTGCTGGCTGCACAGAATTAAACGAACAAGCAACAGGATTCCTTAGTAACAGGATTCTCTCTCTCTCT